TAGCTCCCGGCCCTTCTCACAGGCCGTTCCCTCTGACGGATGTTAACGATTCGGGGCGTGCCATATTACAGCTTGTACTGCTAGGGACAATTTAACAGGCGCTGAACTGTTAAAAGGAAGAGAGTTTTAAAAGTTGTGAAGTTGGAACCGATACAAGTGACAGGAAAAAGCGAGACTACACCGTTTGGTCTACAGCTATACAGATGGGGTTCACGTGTGGATTTTAGTAGGTTGTGACAGGTTTAACTAACTGCCAGGGAATACACTTGAAATCGCCGCCTTTTCTGTCAAAACTCTCCTCACTGTAGCACTCTGCTGCCTCTAAATTATTTAAAAGTGCAGATAAAAATAACTTGCTTTTCATTATTATTCTCAGCTTGCAAAAGATACAGCTCAGCCAGTTTTATAGAGGTTAATGCCTGAATGAACAGGAGAGTTGCGTGGGTGACTAACTCACCAAGCAAAAGTAAAGAAGTGCATCTGAATTCAGATCTGAAAGTGGTTAGTCTGTGGTGCTTCTTACCTTTTGTTGGAACATGTTTCTCCAGACTAATTCCTGTGAAATTCTTGTCTTTAGTACCGGTGGACCTTTTCTCTGAGACAGAGATGGTCAGAAAGCAGGAGGGCTTCTTTGGAAGCCTTTCTTCCTGGATGGTGAAGTTCTGGAGTTGGAGGGGGTGTGAGAGGAAATGAACATGTTGCAGAAACTCAAGTAGTTTTGGTGTTAGATTCAGTAAAAAGTTGGTTTCATACACATGAAAATGTCTTATTCAGGAGCAACGTCTGCTTATGCTACTGCAGCACTCTATGAAAAAACATGCTTTAGGTTCTCACGCAACACCTCCCCTCTGGGTCAAGCTCATGGGTAACCTGTGTCTACCACAGTGCTCCATGTCTGCTCTCTTAATAGTGCAGCCTGTAGTGCTATGTGGGACTTGAGTCACTGCAGCAAAGGGAGGAACAAGGCGTACGACCCATGCAGGAGGATGTGGTTTAATGCTGAATCGAGCCAGATCATTTTGATGCAGGCTTATCATACCATTTGTTGTGCTGAGTATATCTACAGGAAACGTTTACACATTTCCAAACAAAAAGGTTGAGTTTGGGACTTACCTATTTGTTCCTAGATGAAAAAGGAATTCTGGGGAAAACATTTTTATAACAAATTTTAGTTGAGTTCAAGCTCATCCTCCTCCTTGAGGAGGATTGCTTACATAGACCTACCTGGCAGTTCTTCAGAATTAGTAGTAGATTCAGAGCAGAAACGCTGCAGCTCTCCTGGTTTGAGGAGAAACATGGGCCATTTTCAGGGGAGTGAGGAAAAGACAGAGTTTAGGCACAAGTTCTCAGTCCTTACCCCCATGTCAAGGACCATTATCAGTAAATGGACAGGAAAAGGGAGACCTGGACTATCCTGGTTGCCAACCACCAGCAGGGTTTGCCCCAGCACTTAGAGGGGGGTTCCAGAGGCACCCTGATATCTCTTGCTCCCACCCCATGCAGCCCCCTCAGCACTGCCATGCCCCTCTCCTACCGCCTCGCTGCTGTCTCATCCCGCAATGTTCCTCCATAGCCTGTCCTGGCCATGCTGTTGGCGCCGTTGTGTAGCAGCGGCTTCTCCAGAGCTTCCTGTGGCTCAGAAGGGCTGCTGTGGCCTGGCCCTGGCCAGAGGAGAGGTGCTGGCAGAGGCCAACAGCAAGTTCAGCAAGTCCTGAGAATTTCCCCCCTTTGGCACAGCCCGCTGCCTGCCTGGCATGAGGAGAGATCCCTCAGGAGGGCCAAGAGATGTGATTGGCTGCTCTCCTCCTTCTGGAACGTTCCAGAGAAGGCCAGCCAATCAGGAAAGGACCTTGCATGCTGCGTGAGCTTTTCCTCAGTGGAGGATTTTCTGTGCACTGTGTTGGCATGGAGGTGTCTGTATCTCCAGGGGGGTTATTTGGGTGATAATCTGATGCTTCTTATGTTTTGTCTTCATCGCATGAGCAGGCAGGACACAGCTCACCACGTTCCTGGAGTCTTTGGCCAGAGAAGAGAGGCACTGCGTCATGTGCGTAGCCGAGCCCGTTGAAAGCAGGTGGACTGTGAGGAGGTAATGGTTGGCAACAGGTGATGGCAGGATGAAGTCCTAACTTTCTTTTTTTAACAGATCTGTTAGGTTAAAGCCTTGTCCTGATAGCAGTTTTTGTTATATAGGAGTGCCTTTCATGTAAAATTAATGGCCATAGCCAAGTCCCCAGTGAACTTCATGAACTCTCTAGTACTTCTGCAATTTTGTGGTTGAGAGCTTCTTTCAGTATCAGCCTGGAAATGTGACACTGGCTGTGCTCTGTGTGGTTAAGGGCAGACTGCTGAGGTGGGGGAGCTCAGAGGAGGAGGATTGTTTTGATGAGAACTTACTCCTTTTTTGGTTGGATGAACCCTTTGGGCATGACTTCTTCATTTGGGAAAGAGCAATATTGTGGAGGTTACTTGTAACAGGCTTTTTAATGCAAAAGAAAATTCATATTCGGCAGATGCATATGTAGCCCAGTTAGGGTTCATGACTCTCTTAAGTCATGGCTATGAATGAAAATATGCCTCTGACTTTCTAATAGCTGACTTGAAGTAAAAACTTGTCCTGTCTTGCACACTATCACTATGAAAGAGTCGCTATCTCTTTGCATGTACAAGAGCAGAGTGTAGTAAGTGTGTTTGTCATCTGGACATGAAAATTGCAGCTGCCTAGTGGAACCAGCTTTGGCTTTTAGTGCAGGATTGCAAATATTAAATGCTTCTGTGTGAACTAACAGTAGCAAATAGCCTCCCTGTAAGCAGCAGGGGTGAAGAGTCTCCTTTGTAAGAAATTTCAGTCATTACATTAGATCAGTAGTACAAAAAGATGTTATGGAAAATCACTAACCAAAATACCGTGCCCATTTATCAACTCTTTCTTGTAATGATAATATATTTAGCTGCCTATTTGTTCATTGTTATTATTTATTGCATATTTATTTCCTCTGAGCAAGTGGAAAAGTGAATTTCTGTTAAGTACACAGTAAATCTTAAATTCATCTCTGCTGAATATCCTGCAACTGTTGACTTGTTCTCACAAAATGAGCTGAATTTTGAAACTGAGATTACCAAAAACATTTAATAAAAATAGATCATACCTTCCTCTTTAATTTTCTTTATTTGATTATGTTGTTGATGTGTTCTCACCTGCAGGCATTTGTCCCACAGACTGAGGTGAGAATTTTTCCCTCCACTTAAGTAATACAGCCTGGGTTTTGGCAGGGGTTTTTAATATTTAGTGTTTTCTTAATACATAATTTAGAGTTTTGTTTAGCTACAAATGCATAGCAGCAGAATAACTTTAAATCTAATCCACCCTGTTCTGCCCCTCCCAAAATAGCTCATTGTTTTAAATTACAGGAATAAGAGCTCTAAAATGCTTTGTGAAATGAAAATAGTTTTATGAACTGTGTTACAAGAACTTTAAACAGAATAGAACAAAGTCCTTACACAAATGCCAGACTTGCTTCAAAATCAGCTATTGCAACGAGCTATATCATGAGCTATAGCAATGTTTTTCACAACTGGTGTAAAAAACACTATTCCAGTTAAAAGGATGCTGTAGTATCACATCCTTATAAACAAAATGATAGTGGAAGTCTGCAACAAGCAAAATTGGGCAATCTGAAGCAGGAATTTCATGAGTGGGAGATATGAGGAATTTTATCTGAGAAAAATTAGTTTACTATTCCCAAAAACGTGATAAGATCTAAACATGCAGTTTTATAGTAGCAGACATTTCATCAGCACTTTTCCTACATGAGTTTGCTCAATAATTTCGTCTATTTTCATACACTTCTGCTTTAGATCCAGTGAGTCAGACACACAAAAAGTGTAAACCACCAGAGTTCTATGGGCTTCAGTGAAGTTACGTTATTTTACATCACCTCAGGAAGCTCTTTATGAGAACGGAAAAAATAAAAAGCCATGTAGTCCCTCTCCCTGTTTCAGTTCCTACACAGCAGCTATAAGATGAAAAGACCTAGCTTCATTTTATTTTGTCTACGTAAATAGTTCCCCGTCCAATAAAACTGAAGAAATGAGGAAAAAAAGGAAACGGAGAAAATAGCAGACATCTCTGCCTGCTTTCTTGTGGTACCTGTAGTCACAATCCTATATTTTGATAGAGTATTAGTCTTTACTGATGCTTTCCTGTGGTTGCTCCTTAGTGGTTCCATGGTTTGAGGGGGGGCTCTGGAAAGAGCTGTGTAAGAGTAGTGGTTTGAGTTCATAGCCATGGGAATAAAGGGGACAGAATTGTAAAGCCTATGGCCTGTGGCTTTCTCAAAGATAAGCATGCCTAATGATGTCTCTTTTGTTGATATCAGGTTAATAATAACGCTGAACTGGTGGAAGATAGGAAGAGAGGGAGGAAATGAACAGGTTTCTGCCAGAGATGAGCCACACTCTGTTGAATGTTTGCGCAGTGCTGTTTTTGCCATGGCTCCCGGTGATTTAATAAAAGAGTGAGTACCAGACGTTCACCCTCATCTTCAGAATCCCTTTAGCTCATTTTACTTTGGGCAAATCACTGTGTTATAGCAAGTAATTCCTTGAATTCATATCAACATCACCAGTAAGTCTCCAGTTGTTAAAGACTTAAACTGTAAAAACAAACAAACAAAAAGCTCTAGTGGCTTAAATTTGACAATA